TCATTTAAATAATTTATTTATAATTATTTTAGTAGCCCGGACAATAATTGTCTAGAATATGAACACAATTAATCTATAAATTCATTGATTGCTCCGTCTACAATTTCATCCGTATTGATTCGAGTAATTTACTTGATTGTTATACAGTTTCATCATTAACTTCTAATAACTGTGTATCAAAATTTCATATATAAACGAATTGTACAATATCTACTAATGTTTCAATTATGATATTGATCAATAATTATGTTATAATATATTCTAATGAAATGACGATCTTCTTCTCATGAGGTTTGATGAAATATAAATTATTCCAAATTTAACTGCCTCATGTTTATGAAAAATTTAATACGTGAAATTGTTTATGATAATAAAAAATACCATCATAGATGATTTTTTACTGTAAAAGTGAAAGAGCTAAACGACGTTTAATTTGTACCAATCTAACACATAGATGTAGATATTTGCCGAGGTAAAGTCTTACAATTAGTGTCAAGAAGGAAAATAAAATATGTCACTTACCTGAATACTTTTCCGTCTGCATCTGCTCGGTTGGCACGACATAGTTTCCTGTAGCGGCGTTCGGTGGGCAGCCATTACGGTTTTGCTGCGTGCGGAGGGTGTGAGTTGCGTGCAGAGATGGGCCACGCGGCGGAACTTCCGGTGGCGCCGGTTCCGGTGGTGAATCTCTACCCGTGTCTGCAAGTGATCGCATAAGAATTTATACACTCATGTTTCATTGTACTAAACCCCTTCAAATAATTATACACATATCTGCATAAAACATAATGTAAATTAAATAATCTAGTCAATTTAATAACCGTGGACTAGAAAAAACAAAATTTTTGTTTGTATGTTTCATAAAACATCTCTTGTTTTTTTCATTAACATTTGAATTTCCTTTATTCCAAGTCATGCAGAAAATTACTTGAACGAACGGTGTCGCGAAATCACGGGGAGATATGATTAAAAGGGGGTTAACCGTGTAATGCGTGTCGCAGCGAAAATCATTCCCAGTGAATGGGAGTACCGATGCACGGGATGCCATAGGAAGGACGAGTCTTCATCGATGCGTGACGGGCAACGTTTATTTCACGGTAGAATGATTGCATATAACGGCACAATTATATGAAAGTCCATTCTGTCTCATTTACGTTCCCTTATCCGCGTTATCCACGTGATACCGCGATTACCACCCAGTGGAAATCCGAGCAATTAAGCAGCCGTCAATAACTAACCGTCTCCTAATTACGTTTTATGCATGCGGGCATGAAGGATTTATTTTACGCGAGCTGATCGTGTTCTAGGCATAATTAATAAAATCGATGAACAGGTTTTACACTCGAAAAATTGATTGAATATTATAATAGAATTGATTTTTTATTAGTCACGAAATCATTGACATCGAATGAGAATTCGTGTCTTTGTAACGAGTATACGTATAAGTGTGAAATTATTTGTTAACTTCCCACAAATTATTGAAATATTTTGTAACATTTGATTTTTTTAAATAATGATTCTGGAGCCCCGGTTCTGAAAGTTTTACACATAATTCTTGAAAAAGATAAAAAATTAGGATATTAAGAGATGTATTGTGCTTTGATACGATAGCGTTGCGCTGTTGTTTTAATACCTTTGATGCACCATGTGATGTATCAAAATAACAAAACGTACTCCAGGGAGCGATTGCAAATTCTTGTAGTTACGACTGGGTTATTTTCGAGATGCATTAAAACGGTAAAAACACACAGGGGACCGTAATTCATACTGCAACCGATACCTAAAGAGGATGATACATTTAAAAATAAATTAAAATTCTGTATTACGTTGATCTCGATCGAAACCTATGCTTTAGAAGAATTTATCATTACAGTTTAATCGTTTTTTAGTAGAGAAATAAAATATATAATACACGCAAATTTCATATTAACGTAGCTAAGCTAGTGTATAAACAGTAATCAACACTCTTGTATTTCTAATAGCTTTTCAGCTTTCAAGCTTCCCGTACTAACAATTTATTTTACATCAAAAGGTAATTTCTGCTTCCATCTCAATCTAAATTACATCCTGTCCGTCGTCACACCGTGTCGTCAATTTTGCTAATAGTCTCCGTTTCATTTCTATTAAAAATACAAAGCGTGATCCGAGGAACCACGTTCACAGAAACGAAATAACGTAGCTAAGCTAGTGTATAAACAGTAATCAACACTCTTGTATTTCTAATAGCTTTTCAGCTTTCAAGCTTCCCGTACTAACAATTTATTTTACATCAAAAGGTAATTTCTGCTTCCATCTCAATCTAAATTACATCCTGTCCGTCGTCACACCGTGTCGTCAATTTTGCTAATAGTCTCCGTTTCATTTCTATTAAAAATACAAAGCGTGATCCGAGGAACCACGTTCACAGAAACGAATCGTGCATCCAAGCTTGTAAGACATGAACGAATTTTCCCATGCCCCGAGTGTTCAGCCACGCTTAAAATGTAAACGCTTATTACGGCGTTAAAACAGAGACGGTAATTCTAAAAATTTTTCATTTCCGGCTGGGGCGCGCGCGGTTCCGGACCCTTAGGGCTCCGTGTTGCGGGCATTTCGTAGCCGAGTTGCTTATAAAGTTATTCAAACTTGTAAGGAACTCTTCTCGGTGAATAATTAAAGTTACCTAAATGCAAAGGGCACAAAAGAAGGGCTGCCAGGCATCCTGCGAGCGCGCCGCGACGACCCGTTCAGCCCTTTATTCGTGGAACCGCTCGCCTGGGTATATACATTCACAGCAAAATAAACACTTCACTCTAATCATTTTCGTAGAATATATAAAAAACGCGTTGAAATAAATTTTTTAAAAAAATTACATCTATGGCCTCTCATTTTAATAAACGGATTGCGAATTTTATACATCTATAGATAAAGTTTGTCTATAGAAAATATAAAAGGTGCGTCTATAATAATATATAAGAAATAAGACAAAAAATTAAGTGCATATTCTTACTTTTAAAGGGTGGAACAAATTCGATAAATGTAATAGCGATCAATTTCTCCAATTTCAATGATTTCTTAATATATTGTTGGGATGTGATTCTGTACAACTTTTACTTTTATAAAAATTAGCGATATTATTTTCTAAAATATTCACAAGAAATTGTTGTTACTGAGTTCAGTGTCGAGCAACGATGCATACATTAATAGTAATCGTAGCTTCGTACATATATACTATGTACACAACATCTATTGTGTTAATATCTGCAGTCTTGTACAAAGGACAATAGAATTTGTATATAGGTATCTTCACATTTTGCGGAACTTCAGGTCTTGGCGTACAACATTACAGTGACCGAAGTTGTAATGACATGAGGTGTGTGAAATTCTAATTTCCTACAAGCCTTTAAGTCGTGTAGCTCTAACACAGAAGGCACAAACATAACACCACTCGACCAGCGACAAAGGATTCTCATTGTAATTTCGGCTGCTGTACAGTTGTGTTATATTTACGTATAATTGAGGAACATTTCGCTAAGTTGAAAGCCGAAGGCCCTGCAATATGCGGAGGTGACTAGACAAAATATTCTGTAGATATACGCAGGATTTAATGTAAGAAAAATAGTTTTCTGCGAATATCTCAAAAACTAATGTTGATTGTCGACATTAGTGAAGGAAAAAATTGCTTGGATTTGAATAATATATCCAAAAATCATTACAATTGGAGAGGTTGACGTCTACCTATTTATCACAGATTTTTATTCAGAGTTTTATTTTGCATAAAAACCCGCAGTTTATATGATAAGTACATAGATATTTAAGTGACCAATTCATATATGTGATATGGACTCGTTTGTGTAACAGAAACGATCTGTACATTATAACATGAATTATTCTATATCCAAACAGATACAGTTAGTCATTCTTAGTTCCATTGAGTTAGCAAGTTTTGCCGGAATTAACAGAACTATGTAAACGGTTGGTCCGTGTCTGGTAAGAACATGCGGGGATAATAGAAACTGGTAGCAATAACGAATGATGACGCGGCGAATCGATAGCCCGTTAAGCATATATGTATATAATTGGTGTAATATATAACCATTAGAGGTTGTTAATGTTACACGGGGCATTATTGTAAATCAAGGTTAACTGCAATACGGGGTTTATTACGCTCTCGCGAAGCTGTGTAACTTGGTTTGCGGCAACTCCGATGCCGGGTAATGGAATTTCGCTCTTCGACCATCTGGATTAAAATGTATTAACTTAGCGTTTGCAATTTGTCTCCGTTTCGCGTTGGTGCAATTGCGTAAGTTCGTACGTGCGTGATCGTTCGCGAACGATAAGTGAAGTTTATGCACAAATGTTTGACAAGCAAAGACATTTTTCAGGTGAAATAAGCGAATGCGATTTTTATCAGATTTGTATGGGGGCGTTTATATGTCAATCTGTACGTGTGTACAATGCTTTTCATAGATGTGTACGTAACTTAGGTAGCTAATAAAAAAGTTAACGGAATAATCTAATTGTAAGTATACACAACTGATCCAGCTACTGCAGACAATTTTACGTACCTGTGAAGTAAATGGACCTGGACAGGACTGCACGTGAAGGAATGTGCAGAAAAGAAAATGTGCGTTAGTGCAGTTAGGCTGTGCACACTCGAATTGGTGCTGTTACGTGATACATGCCGACTGGGTGAGGCGAACAAAAGCATGGCACGTGGATGTGAGAGAAAGAAAGAAAGAAAGAAAGAAAAAAAAAGTAAAAATGCCGGGGGAACAAAATAAATGAATGATGTTGAATGACGCGACGACGCTGTCATGTTAACGATAACGACGATGTAACGAGACTGGCCTGGATTACGAAGAATCGTTCACCGGTAATTAGACCGTTCAAGCTCCCTTTTCGCGTTGACAATGCTGAAAACTTTGATCATTACGCGAATCTCGTTTTTTTTTTTTTTATTCTTTTGTTTCTCATTTCTGTTGGAACTTTGGACCACGATAATTGAAATCGATGCGCAACATGCTTGAAACAACGTGACACGGAACGAAGTGACGATTTCGATGATGTGCAAACACATACCGGAGGTAATATCTACGTAAGACTCGATGAGACCATTAAAATTAATGAACAAAAGATTTCATGTCAAAGTGCATAACTCCTTCTTCAAAAATTTAATTTGGCAGAAGAGGTTTTAGCGGTAATAAAGCAGAAAACGTTGTACGTCTGTGATTTGTTAATCACGTTTTGTAGAAGTGACAAGAAGTTGTACACTGCGTGGGTTAGCTAATATCAGCGAAAGAATCAGTCTGTTGATTACGATTATGCTAAAATTAACCGGGAGGGTTGGTCAACGCAACGACTCGAATTACAAACGGAGTACATTTCCCTTCGGTGCGCCAGGGACGACAGCCGATATTTTCCGTAATAAGCGGTGATAATTGCTTAATTAAAGCGAACCGTGGAACGCGCAATGCGTTTCTGTCAGCAGCAGCCGCGTCCATCCCGTATCTTGGGCGACTTTACCGTCGAACAGTACATTCGTTGCAGTTATTGAACAATCCCGCCAGCATTGTTCGAGTGTTGGAAACACCTGTAACGCTCAATTACCAAGTCGATTACTCCGCGTAGACGAGAAAAATGCCCAACCACCTCCCAACCTCGTGACCATGTAGCGAATTATTTTCGCACATTCTTATCGATAATTTCAATATCGACATTTCGATTTATCTTAATTCTAGTACGAAACTGAAAACGATGAGAATCAGCAATTTGAGGAATGTAATTATCCAATGAAACTTACTTTCTATCTTTTAAGTTGAGCGTAATAAGATAGTAGTATCATCTTTGGTAATTAAATGTTCACGTCACCGAGCAAATTTTTAGAGTAATGAAGTTTAAATAGTTAGAATTTTAATAGAACCATCCTTGATCACATATACTTCAATTTCAATTGGTCATCAGTTTGTTTCGATTAGATACATTGTAATCGCAAAGATTTGATATCGCGATTGTTGGTTAACGACGCGTGCAGGACAGATTATAGTTAAGCGGTATCAATAATAACAGTACTTATCGACGAATGTCATGGTTGTCAACGACGGTGTCCCCATTGTAGATTATAATCGTTTGTCAATCGAGCTTTTATTTCGTTCGGTCCGTTTTACATGCATGGTACGCGGCATAATGTGAGTCGAAGCATACAACCCGCATGCAAGTCAAAATCGATTGTTGCCAGCGATGACGGTCCCCGCAGCCCACGGCAACGTCATTGACCGCGGCTCAAATCGTATTGTGATCTATGATGGATTACCGTTTATATCGAGCCGTTCATCAAATTGAAATCAATTTTCTTTCACGATCGCCAGAAATTATCTTCGCCCGACGGGAGCCGTCCAAATTGTTTCCGCGCCACGTGAATGCGGAAAATCGCACAACTTTAGCGACACGGTGGGTCCTGATGAACTGAAATCTCGTTTTCGTACGTTTTAGCAAATTAATAACGTTTGATTTAATGCTGTGTAATACGCGGTTGTCGAATATTGACACAAAATGTTTGTTTTCGTTATGCACCGAGTATGAAACATCAATTTACTCAATACAAGTTTCCGCTCTTTGAATCAACCAATATTATGAACTGCATTCTTGATTCGATTTTAATTAAAGTGTCAAGAAATATGAACTTCACTTCAAATTTTCACTCATGCTTTTGAAAAAATTATTCCAAACAATTTTTATTCAGTCGTCAATGGAATTAATTTTCTTTAATTTTCTACCTCACTCGCTTGAGGGAATGGCGTTTATTTATTTGCACGCGTACACCGAACAGGATGTGTGCGAAGTGGAAGTTCTCTCTCAGTCAATGGTCGACTACCAATCGCGGAACGCGTCGGTCATCGCAATGGACAAAGGGGTGAACCAGGTTATCCCTCGACCATGGACAGAGCGTTAGACGCTGGCAAGGGGCGCGGAAAGTGTCGGACAGTGACTGTGACTTGATGCAGTTAGCGTTTCGCGCTGCTAACTCGATTTGATACTCTAATACCCTCCGTCACGTCCATCGTTGCCCCGTATTCATGTAAATACGAATTATGAATTGCTAGTAGTCGCTGCGGTTGCGACCACCGTTGACATCGTCCGAGAATTCGCTACTTTTACTTCTGGCATAAATCTGTCAGTTGAATGAAATCGCATTAAAATGATATAATATTGCATTTCATCCATTTCTTTATTTGATTAAAATGAAAATTTCAGTAGAAGGCAAATTTGAAATTAGAAGACTCGTTTAACTCTGCGTATCTTCATTAAAGGTCATCGCGTATCATTTTTATGAAAACCCTCCGAAAATGTGGTCTCGTTAAGAATCTAATTTCCGACGATAACATCAGATAAGGGTTGAGCCTGTTAAGGTTTTCCTAGACAAGGAACGGGATTATTCTCTATTTGCTTTCGCCGAAACGTACAACGATTAAACTCGATATTAGGTTACCGCGTGCTCGTAGATTTTCGGGGGCTGGGAACGAACCGGAAGAAGTGCAACGGTAACGATAATGGCGAACACGGACTATTGGCATAGTTTTCAAGCGGTGCTTAAAATTATTCCTATTTCCGAAAACCTGGCCGCCATCCAAGCTGTCTCATGCTTTTTCTCAGATAAGAGTCACTATTTAAACAAAGAAAAAGGGAACGGAAGAAAAGGAATGGGAGGGATATATTTTATTCTATTCACGGATCAATACCCGGTTGCGTGTGTCCCCTTTTTCCTTCTATCTGTTCACTTTTTCGTTTTCCCTGTAATTTATACGCTTTCCCAAACGATCGTATTTCATATTAAACTGCCGACTCGATGGATCAGATGAAGCCGTGCTTTCTCTCTCTCTCTCCTTCTCTCTCTCTCTTCGTCTCTCGTCCTCTCTATCGTGCGCGTTCAAAGATGCGGTTGTTGGCCGCATTATTTGCAATTTAAATAATCCGACAGATCGATGATTAATCGCCCGGTTCGACAACATTTTTCCCGCTCGAATAAGCTAATATCGGCTTGGATTCGGATTTACATTGGTACGCGAACCGAGCGGAACGACGATGGGCGCTCAGCTAAATTTCTAGGGCAATCACGCTAATCGATATCATATTTGTTGGCTCGCGGCTTCGTTTCAGGAAATTAAATTCTCCAATCCCGCGGACCCGTGCGCGCACGTGTTCTTTGATTCACCGCCTTAATTGCCTTCTATCTTTTTATTTGGCCGATAATTGGAACGGTAATAGGGAACCTTTGTGCAGAGCGGACCTGAATGCTCGCAAGAACGAAATGTTTCTGGAATGCACTCATCTATGCGTTCTCTGATGCTTTTTAGATTTCGTGTTTGAATCAACATTTGGTTGACATGTAAAATTAAAAGTATAATATCGGTTGTCTTCAATAAACAGCAGTTCTTACGTGGAATTAAATTTGAAGTATGCACGTTTGGGTGTACCTAATTACTGAAATGAGTGGTCGATTAGATTTGAATATTTTATGGAGAATCATCATCATTTCGCGCTTAGTAATTCGACTGTGAGTCTTCGATCCTATATTGCTTGGCGGAATGTCCCTGCGGTCTAATGGAGGCATTTCGTGGCATCTATTAGCAAATGGTTCCCAACGGTCAGGGCTTGGCCACGTTAACCCCGTCCTCGCCACCGTCAGAAAGATGATTGATATTACATTAGATCAGTACAGTCTAATATGGGCCAATTGAAAACCGCGATATTAAATACCAGTTATAAGGCAATATGGCGTAATCATGCTCGTTTATATCTTACTATCATATAAAGAGAATGCGTTTGTTTGTATGTTAGTAAAAATTTCAAGAATGACTCAAGTATTTGCATCGAATTTAGATTAGAGCTATCGTATTTACTCCAGAGTGTCACAGACTACATATATTTCTAAAACAAAAAATATTGT